CTTGACAACGTGACGCGTGACGCGACGCGTGATGTGACGCGAGGGGTTTGAGCTATCTATCCGTTTTTTCCCATTCGTATTCGATAGCAATAATCTGCTTATCCCACAACGACTTTGAAGATGAGTTCAACTGAAGCTACAACATTGGGGGGGGGGGGGGTGATGATGAGGAACAGTGACCGATGATCGACGATTATCATACTTTTCCCCACAATTGTCATTCAACATCCCTTCGTCTTATCGCTCGCCCTACTCGTGTCCCGTGACGACACGCGTGACGTGACGCGTGATGTGACGCGAGGGGTTTGAGCTATCTATCCGTTTTTTCCCATTCGTATTCGATAGCAATAATCTGCTTATCTCACAACGGCTTTGAGGATGAGTTCAACTGAAACTACAACACTAGGTAACAGGTGGGTGCGCTTCACGTGACGCGCCTGGGAAGCAAGACGGGCACGCATGCACGACGAGTCGTTCGTTGGAAGAGCCTTTGAAATCGAAGCTTGAATGGGACGGCCTGGGCTTACTCTGGCCACCTTTCTTGGACCCTCCCCCCGCTCTCCTTTGAACAGGGAAGAAGGAAGGTTGTGCAGCTCCTCGCTCCGTCGCACAGGTATGCGACGTGGGCCACGTTGCACACGTCGCCACGTCACGACGTGACGGTCACGTGACGCTGTCACGCTCCACGCATCCTGCAAAGCGTTCCTGGTGTTACTGTAGCCTCCCATCGTCTGTGGCGATAGCTCAGGATGCCTTCGCAGCTTCGCCCTCCTCGAAGTCCCTGCTGGGCCTGTCGTTTTTGGCCGTCGATTGGCTTCGTCGTTTCTCATCGAATTGGAACCGGTAGAACTCTTGAAAGCTGCTTTCCGGGTGTATAGTCCTCCCCTCCCGTGCTCAGAGCACGGTGCTCTGGCAAGAGGCATCATTAAGTGATTTTTGCTTTGTCGTTCCCGCTCGATGGAGAGGGCAGATGTAGCGGTGCGGTGCGGCGCGGCGCACACTCAGTCTTCCAATTCTTCATGTCTCGGTTCAATAATCGGGGAAAATTGAACTGTCGATGATGCCAACGACATGATTCTTATACTCTCATGTCAGTTATATCCACCTTTGAGTCATACTATGAACATCTACTTCATCCACTCCTTAATAGCTACTTCTTTCTTGGTGCTTGGACAAACACCCGGAGAAATCGAGGCGATTCCTCAACTCAACCAACCTACCGCAGTACCCTCAGGAGGCTACTACACAAAGCTCCCTCAAGATTCTTGTGCCAAAATAACCTGGCAGAAGATCACACCATCGTTATCTTGGGTGATCCTTCGTTTAAGGTGCAATGTATCATCATACGTTGAAGTTACATCACAACCCTTGATAGTATATAGCAGTGGCACTAGTTCCTTTCGCGTCACGCAAGCCACCGAGGCCAAGCGCGAGCGATTCCTCAAAGACGTTGACTTGCAGTGCCCTGGTGTGATAAATCCTGAATCCGAGGAGGACTTCGCGTGGTACAATTACATCCCTGAGTACGATCTTGTGGTCGTCCAGGCTCGGAATATCACAGTTTTCTTCGACCGGCAGAAGTGCCCGTAGGATCTATGAGGCATCATGCTCTATCATTTTGTAATCCTTTTGTAGGATCTATGAGGCATCATACTCTACCATTTTGTAATCCTTATTAGTAATAAGTTATTACTAAATAAGCCCGTACTTAGTCCACAAGAGAGTATCGCGTTTCACAGTCAGGGGTCACAAGGGTCACAGGCTGTGAGTCACAGGCGAGATCCTTTTCACTCCCAATACGGAGAACACCAAGGTGACACCTTCAACCTCAAGGAAACGGAGTGGGGGTTGAGGTTGCCAAGCGGGAATAACAGCCAGTGGCTATACTACGGTAAATGGCCGTAATACAAGCGCAACCCAAACTGCACGCCCCTCGAAAAAGGGGACTACGGGTGAAAACAAAGGAACTTTCTTTGTTTTCACCCACAGTCCCCTTTAAGGGGAACCCGAATCCCGACGACGCAACTCGAAACGTAAACTTTCATCAGGGCTCAAGCTATTCTATACGAAATGAGCGCTCCTCCTAAACGATACTCCTTAGGTTAAGAGAGGTGAGCTAGTACAAACCCAGCAACATTGCGGCATACACAGCAACGGAACGTACGCCACAACAATATGAATTCATCCAAATCGTTGCGCCCAGCGCGGGCGGAGGTGGCAAATTGGCTCGGGTACTGAACGAGAAAGCGGCTATTTTGAAGAAGGCGTTTAGTGATGACCAGTCCAGTAGCAGTGAGGATAAGCAGCCTGCTCAGCTCCCACGGTATGTTCGTGTGAACTTGGCAGAAATCTCCAGGGAAAATGCTATCGAACAATTAGGCTCAGCTGGTATCAAATCCAACGCAGATCCACTGATTCCTGATGTAATAATCTCAACACTGCCGTCTAAAGATGCGATATGAAGTTTTAGGTTATCACTGTAGATCCGTGGAATTCTAAGACGCTCATTGAGTCTCCTCTGGTGAAAGACTTTACCCTCGTACTACAGGACCGTGGCAGCTGCTTGTCTGCGCACTCTTTGCTGGCCGGCGTTCAGCCAGGGGAGAAAATCACAGTCGTAGACGCATGTGCTTCTCCTAATTCCAAGACGATTCACATGCTACAACTAATGAGGTATCGTAAAATAGAAGGTACTATGATAGCAATGGAGCTTGATCCTAAGCAGGCAAAGGTGCTACTCGACCGTCTGGCAAAGGCTGGTTTCTTACCACGAGATGGGACAAGGACTTCTGACGAAGTTGTTCATCTGTCTGCGGAGCACAGCCCTGATATCAGTGTTGAGGTACGTGTTGGTGATTTCATCAAGTACAGCTCTGCCGAGGTCACCCATGTGAATTTGGACCCGAGCTGCAGTGGTTCTGGATTGGTCGACGTTCACGCTGACTCTGAGAGTGTCGGCGCCCAGCGGCTCCGCAAGCTTTCATCATTCCAATGCCGAATGTTGGACCATGCCTTGACGGCATTCCACGCTGTTCGGACGGTTTGCTACAGCACATGTAGTATCAGGAACGAAGAAAATGGCGAAGTTGTGAAGAAAGCTCTTAATAGATTGCAAAGCGGGTATAGACGGGAGTGGCCTTTTGAAGTGGGGTCCTGTTGGAAGGAGCTCACCCACGGCGCTCGAGACGTTCAAGTTCGACCTGAAGTGGATCACTGTCGGGGTTTCTATCTCTGCAAACTCGTCAAAGACGCTAGTGTGAAGCGGAGGAGGTCGAGTGACGACGCTACTGGTGTGGGAGAAGTGTCGGCTCCGAGTACGTCTAGAAGTAATCCTAAGAAGCACAAGCGCTCTTCGAAGAGCAAGGGCATTACTATTACCAAGTGATTACTAACGTATTTCATCTACTCCCGTTTTTGTCTTGTCAATTACTCTCAATAAGAACAAGGATTGCGACACTCAGTCATGTCACGGGAAATCCTGGCGACCACATACTGCGGCGAAGTGGCGACTGTGAATTTCTGTATTACTTGTTATCTTGGTGGTGTGGTATTACACTATATCAACGGCGGCAATACGAGGCAAGTGAGTTTTCTTTTCTGTGTACGACCTCAAGATTGACGCTGGCCGACAGGATTTGGATCAGCTGATGTCCGGTCTTTAGTGATCACATACAAGTCAACACTGTATTAGTGGAAACAAGTATAAGTAAATGAGAATTGGTGATATGTTCCATCACCAGGAGAAGCTTCGAAATTCCGTCAAATCAGGTTCTCCATCGATTTTAAAGTCGCCACTTTCAACACGGGAAAGTTACCATCAGTGACACGTACATCCTCATTACAGTTCAATATACACATCCTAAAAACTGCGACCATAGTTGGTGTAGTAGCAGTGTTGGGTGGTGAGGCTC